TACATGAAACAATTGAATGTGTATGACTACATAAACTTCGACTACATAATAAGATTATTTTGTTGCAATTATGTTCCCGAGATGCAGTTCTCTGCTGTTTTTTGTACGTTGCATTTATATATTAAGAATATCTCATGAGTGACCATACAATATTTATCACAAATCTGTGTTCATATAACGGTTCTAATTTATCCATTGATTCTTGAATAAACACTCACAAATTGTTTCTTGTCATTTTACGAGCTACAAAACGGATGTATAAGGAATATGTGAGTTCACAATATAAGTTGCATTATACCCGTATATTAATTTGCAGATTTTTCGAGTCTTTAGACGAATGAAATTAAATTACTGTAGTCATTTATTAGATATTGTAGGTTCAGCCATAAGATATTTTCTATGTAATGTCCACTATTCTCACCTTGTAAAAACAGTGCCGGCTCCAGTATCATTATATAAATCGTATAATCCAAATACGAACGTAGCACACACAATCAGAAAGATACAAATGAAACGTGCTACATCAGTTGCCATATTAGAGAAATGGAATAACATCGGTCCAACAAACTCCATTAAAAACAAATTCTCTATATGACGGATACAGGCAAGAACGAATATAAATGAATACCAACAATCAATGACTACTGGTACTATCGCATCTCTATATGTTTGTGTTCCTAAGAATTTGATCTGAATGCAGATGACTGCTAATAACGAGAGCTTAATAACAATGTCTAAAATGTTCACAGCATCAATGAGGTACTTGAGTATTCCCATTTGATAACACTGCAGAATGTCTTGGTACAACAGCGCGATTACCCAAACCAGTAGTATAAAAAATACTATATGAAAATTTAAATAAACATCCATTGTGGGATCCGACGAATGGAAGAAATCCAAACAAAGCATAAACATAAGAAACACGGCATGTGCGAATGCTTGCATTGTAAATCTTCCCTTTGGATTGTTTATCATCTGACTGGTAGGACAGCATGGGGCGAACACATAGATAACACCAAGGGGTATTTGTAAAACTCCGTACACCATGATGCAGTATACCCAATACAGTATTGACCAACCAATTCCATCCTTCTGTGACCATGTCGGTTGACCCTGTTCCCATTGGCGCTTCAATATAGCTTGACTGTAATAATGACCTATGAACTGCACAACATAAATGTCAATGGAACGTGATATACAAGAAAGAAGACCCACAGGGTAGTGTAAAGTCTGCTCTATGAACCGAGCATGATTCAAACACGGACATTATTTGTATACACGTCAGGTATACTAATTCTTCAAATAATAAAGTATAAAAACAAGTCAAATGCAAAGAAAATACGTCATAGTCATCCACATTTAAAGCGAGCGAATTTAATAACTCGGATTAGGTGTTTATCATTAAAATTCTTATGTATAAGGCAAATATTGTATTTTAAACGCGTTGTATATGTCGTCATGGGAACTGTAGACAACTATTAAGGGAAACGCTTAACGGAGCCATGCTATGCACGTCATGTAAGGCACATACACGATACGTCCCACTCGTTTTTTCGTCAATCCTCCAGTGTCTTGAAGTCCCGAAACAAGACATGTCGATAATAATATTTCGTTTAATTCAACACGCCACATTATATTGAACATTGACATGAGTGGAATAAAAGAAGGTAGATTGCTGAAAGAATAACTCAACTGTGAAGTTGATAGCTATATCTCTAATCCATATGGATTTTAGCTATCAATTAAACAATCCAAATTAGAATTAAATTTTATTTTACCAAGGGAATCATGCCACAATAGTTTTATTAATAAATTACAGTACCGCTGACATTTACATCAATTATTTTTTGTTTTTGATTTATCTAATTCTTTTAATACGAATTAGTTCACCGTTTAAAAAAATCGAGACCAAAGTTTGAAGTGCTGAATTGTGAACCAGAAATACAAACCCTCCTTACCTCTTTTTGGTCACTGTTAATGGCTTGTATTGCCAAATGATACTTGTCAACATCCGATATGCTACTCTGTAAATCAGTTTTGCACGGCTTTCCCTTAAGTAAAATTGACACCTCTTCCGAATTATAGCAGCATTCCAATATCTCAACGGCAAATGATTTTAACTGTTTGATCAATGACGAGAAGTATATCTATAATGAAATGAAAATAGACCATGATATGAATCAATTACTTTATTTTATGCCAACTTTAATCTCGAGCATGTTCGTGGTGATATCAGGTTCAATCGCAGACCCAATTTTAACTTGACCGTAGTTTAAGTTTTATTGATTAATTGGGTTATTTGATTGGGCTAAATCATTACACTCAATGTCAACGTCAATAGCATGCTTGTATTGCGCACGTTTTTGGTGTATTTGAATATCAACCAACTTGTGATGATCCTTATTATATCAGACGCAGTAAAGCTGAAGAGTGCCAATTTTGAAACCATTAAATGTACAATTGCTACGTTATAAACATCCGTTAAAAGTAGTTAATAATAGCACTGTAGACCAAATTGGGTTAAGATTTATTAT